ATAAAGTAAACTAAAAGTAAGTAAGTAAAAAAATTAAATTAACGTTATAGTATAGTAGTAGGTCTCTCTTCGTAAGTTAATTAATTTTATTAGTTTATTGTTGTTGTGTGTGTGATATATATATATATATATATATATATTTTATTTTTTTTTTTTTTTCCCACAGTGTCTGCAACTGCTTTCTACAAAGCTCAGGCTGTAATTGACTTTATGTGTGAAGTCTTGGAGAGTAGGGATGTACATGAGCAGCGAAAACCTCTTACAGATTCACAAAGGGTGAAATTCACAAAAGAAATTAAAGGGCTGAAAATTGAAATAACTCACTGTGGTTCTATGCGACGCAAATACAGAGTCTGCAATGTAACTAGACGTCCAGCACAGCTTCAATCGTAAGTTTGGTAATACAAATTATAAAAAGGTTCATTGTAAAATTTTGTGGAATGTGCTTTGCTCTAGATTTTTCAGTAAGGACAATTGATAAATTGTAAAGACTTGTTTGGGCTGTTCTTAAACTAAATAAGCTGTTTAAAATCTGTATAACTTCTGCCTTCTATATAACTGTAAAATAAAGTTTGAGAGCATTACATCGGTACTTAAGCCAAACTTTGTAAACAGAAGCAAAATACAAACAATTTATATTGTGTTTCATAATTTTCAGTATTTGTTGTACTGTGTAAGTTTGAAAATTATAAAGTATTGTTTTTTGATACATAATGTGGACTTTTTTCATACAGCAAGGTTTTTTCCAGGTTTGGAATTCTCGTACTATTTTCTAGCACCTTATGAACTTTTCAGCTTGCATTTGACCTAAAATATACAGGATGGTCCCTAGCCTTTCCCACCTTCCCATAATAAAGGAAGCTGAAATGATAAGTAATGCAACAAATTTCACTGTTAACTGCATTAGCATGATCACAGAATCCCTGTAACATTGCAGTTATTTGAAGTGCCCAGCATCATTATCAATACATATGTTACATAAATGAACTTTTTAATATCTTTAGTATCTTAATAGCTCTGGATATTGGTGTTTTTTTTTGCTAATATATCAGATTTTTGCCTTGATAATAAAATTACAAATATTGTTTTAATTATGAGTGTGTAAGAACATTTTTATCTATAATAAATTAATAACAAACATTTAATTTGCTTATTTGTCATGACAGTGTAGTGTGTTCCTGCTGTCACATTAGCTTTAAATATTACACACTAGCCTATTAGTGCTTTGAAAACTTGTGAAAACTGTGGTATGCCTTCAGACTTACTAAGAAGAAATTATTGTAATTGTTAACTATTTGTTAGCAACTGTTTTGAATTAGGATAAACAAAAGTTGCAAAATTTATGAAGTTTTTATCCTTTGAATTGAAATCTTCAAAATATTGGGTATTTATAATTCTGTACTGTTGGCATACAAATGAATGGAATGGTTCAAAAGTTGCATTTTGTAGGTAACCTCTGTCTTAATATTGGTTGAATGGGCAAATATTCAGTGATGTTTATTGTAAGATAAAATGTTATGAATGGGGCAATACATATGTGTTGTATGATGTCGTTTTGCTGCATATTCTATTAATTAAGGACAGTAATTGAAAGAAAAGTCTGCCTCAGTGAATATATATATGTAAAAATAAAATTTTTTGAAAAATATACATATTAGGTGTAATAATTTTTATGGATCCCCAAGTTATTTGTCTTAGTAGCAGTCTGTATTGTGTTGCTAAGAGTATTTAGCAAAATTTGGAAAATTGTTGCCAGAACTACATAAATTGGAAATTTTGATATTAGTAGATACGAGTGTGAATGCTGTTATGTACATTTGTGTTGTGTTGCAAGCTTTAAACTCTCAATAAATATAATTTAAAAAAAAAGTAACATAATACATGTAGATGTAAGTGGATAGTGGCACAAGTCTGGCCTAATTATCTTTATCTTTGAAGTGTTTTATATAGAGAATATGGACAGCAAATGAAAAATAAAGGAACACAACTTTAGAAATAGAACAGACTCTTCACAGTGTATACTGCTAGGATATTTATCAGTATTGTTCAGCTTCAGTGTTTATTATATAGACTTTTTTGTCTGCTGGAGAGAGGAGCAAAATGTCTGCTCAAGATGAAGAAAGGAATCAGAATGATAACAGGCTTGCAAGATAGACCAAGTTTGTTCTGTGGCTCTCTGAAATCCTATTATGTACACCAAATATCATTCCCAATGTACATATCCGAGAGAGAGAAACTCCAACTTGACACTAACTTGGAATGAGTATTACCTCAGTCCAGGAGGCATACCTAGAAACACAGCCAAACAAGCCTTATTGAATGATTGATATGACAATTAGTCTTTGCTGAGCTAGAAGAATTGCTCATTTTATGACTTTTCCAGATTCAATTTACAGGGATGTCACTAACTACATAGTGAACAGCTGCTCAAAAAGTTAGAAAAATTTACCAGAATAAATTTAACTGAAAATATATTGTTTTTTAGTAAAGAAAGGTAAACTTAGCACTTCTTTCAACTGCAACAACTTCCTTTACACAGAGCCTGCATAGAGTGAAACCTTCAAAGTAAGTATCAGGAGGTCAAATTTATAAGTTTATAAGAGGTCATACCTGTAATCACATCCAGTCTACACACACAGTTTCATGATAGAACAAAATGAAAATTTATTCAAACACAAGGGCTCCAACAGACAGTAAAACTCAAAATCAGTATTTGAAATTAGAGATAAATAAAACAAACTGAAATGAAATAGAACAGACTGAATGAAATTGAATATTAAACAAAACAGCATTGCAAATAGCCATAACAAAGGATAATTCAATGTAAAATAAAATATGAATAACATTCAGATATACCTTTATTTTATATTGCATGAAACACTATCATGAAATAGATGATATTTGATGAAGAATTAGTCAGCATCAAATTAAAATCATAAAATAAATAACAATGAAAACTAGTTTGAAACTGAACACATAAACTTTAAGAAGAAGAAAAATTAAATACAAAATCAGGGATGTCAGAAAATAAATCTATAAATAAGTCAATTAAATTCATAAAATAAAACATTACAAAACTGAAAATAACTGAAAATACAGAACAAAAATGTCAATCTTTTAACCATTTCTATTTTCACACAAAAGGATTTTAAATAAACCATATATTGAATTAAATACAAAATAAAATAAGCAAACTTGGAACTTGGGGAAAGACTAAATGAAATGCTTAATTAATCATAATGAGATAAAATAGAACTTTTGAGATGATAACTTGCCTTCAGACACAGAAATGCTATTTTCCTCGTATGTCTGCTTATTAGATTTGCATGCTTTAGCTAACTCCCACTTAAATTTATGTTTTTAACATGAACTGTGCCAGTGGAGGGCAACAGAACCTCTGTGTGCAGTAACTTCCCTATGCACTTGCACTCATGATAACTTCATAATTTTCCTTGGCATTGCATTGAACAGATGTTTAAATATCTTGTTTGAGGTCAATTTGATGAGACTTGCATTTGTTAATGAAACTTTAATTTTCATTTGCTTTAGCTTTTGTTTCAAAAGATTTAATTTTTATCATGAAGTATTTTATCTGTAGTATTATTAACTTTTACCTTAATCTTCCATTATCTTTCTGGATATCATTTTCAGGTTATTGTGTCTTTCCCCTTTACTTGATATTAATGGTTTATGCTGTTTCCTTTCTCTCGCAATTCTTCACTCATAGCCACATACCTCATTCTCCTTGCATTTGTGACTCTTTAGTCCTGACTTGCAGACATTCTTCCTTTTCTTTCTTGACTTTCTGTTTTAGTTAGCTATTTGGCCTGCTTAAAGATCAGGCTTCTTGATTTCTATTTCACTCTAAAGTTTCCAATTTTTGTATCTTTGTGCTTTTCTCACCACCCTTCTATATTACCATTCCTCCCTCCACATTTTGTCTGAGGCACTTATTTGTGCTCCAGAGGGATTTTCTGAAGATGTTTGTTTCCTTCTCTTTGCCAGCTTAGCTTGTTCTTCTTCTTCTCTGTCTCTCTTTACTTAGTTCCCCTGCTGTTGGAACTCATTTACTGTACACCCTCCTCCTCCTTGTGCACATGGTCTTCATTGAGCTCCCTTTCTTTACTCAGTGGTGTTCATTTCTCACTAGAGTCCTTTATTGAAGTTGCAGGACATCAATTCCTGTTTTTTTTCTTTGACTTGTTCCTCGTCTGAGTCTGTATACCCCTACCCTTCCCACTCCAGGTTCCAGGTCTTCCTCTTTTTCTTGTCCTCCCACTACTTGACATCTGGTTCATTGCTCTTCTTGTCAGTGGCTTTCATGATTGACCATGTGGTACCCAACTCCTTTTTTTTTAGCCAGCTGTTGGTCTTAGTTTCTACTGGCAGACATTTTTATGTTATTTCCCATTGCCTCTCTCCCCACTTCTTTTTGCTTCACTCCTTTTCTTGTTTCCTTTTCCCTTCAATCTTGCGTATAATCCTTTTCACCTGGTCTGCAGTTGGCCGTGGTTGAAGTGTCAGACACCTTTCTACACATCCCTATTGCCCTGGCCTCCAGATGTCCATCAGACTTGCATCTTCCAATTCCTTGCTTTTCCCTTCCACATAGAGTCAGCACCTTTTGTATTCATTTGTATCATGAGGGCCTTTGCTCGTCATTTTCATGCCTTGGAGCTGTAATTAATTTTCTTGAACATTTGGCTTCTATTGGCTCATTCTCGGGAGGTATCCTTTTCTCACACCTCCCTTCTTTTCCCAGAAGTTGCTTGGTTGGGTGGCTTGTGAAGATACTTAAGTCCTTTGTCATGTCCACTCAGTATTGGTACATCTGGGAGTTTTCTTTATCTCTTGTCTCAGCTGATTCTCCTCTTAACATGCAAACTATGGAGTTTCTTTCATGCAGCTGGAATTTACTACAACAATACTCAGCCATCATCTGACCATTGCATTTATTCTGTTGTTAGGTGGCTTTTCTAAGTTACTGTAGAGAAAACTCATTCAACCACCACTGTTGATCTTAGCCATTCTTTGTACTCTTAAGGGTACTGTGGAACTACACCTGGCAGTGGTGGACCATACATTACATGTACATGAAGAAATACTTCTCGCCAAAATGTCAGAAGGATTGGCAAACATCCAGTTAATTACTGTTCTTTTGCTTTATATGCCATCATTATATATGGCAACTTTTCACTCCATTCAGTTTGCTCTGGATTCACAACTTTACAAGCATGTGTTTGGTAATCTGTATTGCCCACTATGTCAAACCTTCTGACTGGGGATGATATGGTAAAGTTTGAATCTTCACGAAAGGTCAGTGGACATTTGACTATTGAAAATGACTCCCTGGTCTATGTGGATCTCTTCAAGGTTCTTCAAATTGTGT